ATCCCTTGGATATCACGCCTAGTTGGGACCGGGCCGAGTGCGTGATAACGAAAAACGCGATAACGAAAGTACTGAACCTATGGGATTTATTCTAATTGGTTCCAGGCACCCAAGACCCAACCCCAATTTTCCCATTATACGACCATTTAGACCCACTGAAGATATAGATAATGTTATGGTAAGTATCAGAAACACACATAGGCATGGCTAGGTTTATTACAAAGTGATGAAAAGGGTACGCTCAATACTATAGTCCACAAAACATGTAGCTATGCTTTCTTTATTTGAGTCTCCCGTCTGAGGAGTCCGTTTTCTCATCATTTCAGGACGCCCGAGTCCTCCGTTTTCTCTCAATCTTAGAGTGCACCCGAGACTTTGTTATTTCTTAGTAATGACACAGAATTTGAAATTGCAACTGGGGTTGCAATTGTTGAGGCAACTTAGATATGTCTGATTACAGCAAATGTGTTATTGTCAATTTGTAGGTGAAAGATTTTATCCTCAATAGATGTAGGTGAAGCAAATGGGTAAAAACACCTGGAGGCAACAGCGTGATAACAAAATTCTCGGATTGAAAAATGCGCTATAACAGCAGGTGTGCAGATTTTGATGGAGGTGTGATAACGAAAATCGCGATAACCAAGGGATGACTGTATTATCAATACGTTAACTAAATTTCAAACTGACCAATAATTTTAATGTAAAAATACAAAAATATTCAAGACACCAACAAAATCGATGTTCACTCCACTGTCAACAAAGCCAAACTGACGCCTGGTGGGTGAGTCAAGCGGCTGATGGGCGCACAAAAAACTAGTTCCCTGCATATATTATCAATATGTTAACTAAATTTTCAAATGACTAATAATTTTAATATAAAAAATGCAAAAATATTAAAGAGCACAACTTTATTGATATTTACTCCACTGGAAAATAATGTAAACATAGAACAGATTAATGAATTGGCAGACTAGCCCATCAGCTGATGCTCACAACAAAACGTGTTGTTCGTAAGGATTTCGTTAATCAAAGTTTTGTTCGTTAACCGAATTGAAGATCCTCATACTAGCACTTGTTTACTTCCAAACAAGGTTGCAAGAAAAAAGTATTGATTTAAATCATGGTTTGGTATCTATATGGTAAATTTCAAAGGAAGGAAGTAATAATTAAACAATTGCTTATATGCTGTATTGTTATAACTAATAAGCCAAAGCAACAGAGTATCTTATGCCTATATCACAGTAGCCTACATAATAAAACACAAAAAACCTTCACTTTTGTAATGTTCACTATTCAGTGTTCTCCCAACAGAAATTACAATATTTGTTTTGTAACTGAAACAATAAACACTAGTCTATGGTAAGTAAACATCACTTTGCTTACTTTACAAGTTTTATTGTACTGACCGACTTCAAACATGTAGGGGTTGTAGTTAAGTATCAAGGGCACTGATAACTTGTTTTAGGCTAACTGTACTTCAGAATTGCAAATAGAAAAATAAAGCAAAACCAACTAAATCACAACACTTGGATACAACATTACAATTAATACTTATAAAAATCAAATTGTAACGTATCTTAGTCTTTGCTACATCACACATGGCAAACAACAAGTTCTAATTTAATTAAGCATCTTTGTAACCATGACCACTGTATGCATTCAAGGTCTTAAAAAGAAAGTTAAGTTTTGCTTCTTCTTTTCTGTACCAAGGCAGTTCCTTAGTTTCCAATGTCCATAGAAGGATAAGGCTGCCACTCTACACCCACACCTGCTGCTAAAATAAACCCACACATCCTGGCAGACACACCAACACTTGCTGCTACTCTACACCCACACATCCTGGCAGACACACCCACACCTGCTGCCACACTACACCCACACATCCTGGCAGACACACCCACACC